TCACCCCAACGCGACCACGGCATTAGGGGTCTAGCAGTATCCTATAGGTGTAGGCTGCAATGCCTCTTTACACTCTGGGTGAGGAAAAACCTTCCTAGTGGAGGGCGAGCTTGGACATGTGCGACGTCAGTTGAGCATGTCTTTGGTCGTAGCGGAGCTCGAGTGGGTCTGTAATGGAGGAGCCCTGGTGCATCCGGGTGGCAAGAGGGGATGGAGGTGGAGGACTTGATGACGTAGTGACAAGCTCGTCATAGCAGCCGGTGGCACGAGACCTGATGGGTGGTACCTTTATGTTTTTAATAAAATGAGGTTGAAACCACCATGCGCCCGTCCATCAAGATGCATCTGCCCCCGCTACTCCACTACATTAGTGGAAAACGGGCCATCAGTCAAAGTTTTAGAGGGCCTCTTTTTTAAAATTTTGTTTTTCTGAATTTTTTGTAAAAAAATTGAATTTTTTTATTTTTAAATTTCTGAGTTATTTGACAATTTAATCTCTAATCACCCACTATAATCATTGCTCAATTATGAACCACTCATTCCAAATCGTCTAACTTCCTGGATGGTCACCCATTCTCTCACTACTCCAACCTAAGCACGCTTAACTTTCGAGTTCTATTCCCTCTAATTTCCAAGTTTGCACTAGTTGTTTTTCTGACAATACTAAGCTGTCAATCCTATTAACCCTTAGGAGTTGAACTTGAGCATTAAGCACCGTTTGAGTTTGAAACTATTATTCTAAAAAACTATAATTATTTTAGTAACACTAATATTTCTTGAATAAGTAGTTTGACCATAGATTGACCAAAAATATAAAAAATAAAAATAATTATTTATTAACACTAATATTTCTTGAATAAGTAGCTTCACCGTAGTTTGACCAGGGTTTGACCAGATTAAACGAAAAGTCAAAAAAACTAAAACTTGAGCATATCTTGTTTTCCTTTCGTGCTGACATTTTGATATATTATGCGTTTTTTCTCGACATCGTATGCAAAAGATATGACCGTTTTACTCTTTCATAACACCTTTTTGCAAAACATGTCCAAATTTAAGTTTTTAAATTTTTCCTAACTAGTAGATGTAGTAACATAACTACATCTCGAAGGATTTTAATTTTTGAAGTTTTTATCATTTTTCTTTTGTTTTTTACAAAACTGGAAAGACTAAAGGGCATTGCACCCTTTAGTCCCGGTTCGTGTCTCAAACCGGGACTAAAGGTCCCATTTAAACCGGGACTAATGCCTTCCCGACGCCTTAGCTGCTCGAAGTGGGACTAATGCTCACATTAGTCCCGGTTCGTGATGCAACCGGGACTAATGTGTATATTGAGTTTGGACGAAAGCCCTATTTTCTACTAGTGCTACACCATGCCGTCGAGACCCGCCATCGTCAATGCGTTAGAGACAACGCCGCTCCACCTCCTAAACCCTCCAGCTGCTGCTCCAAAACTATGACCCCGGAAGGGTAAAATCGTCGCCATCGTTGGATCAAGGAGAGACCCATATCTCGAGTTTCCCTTGGAGTAGCCTGAGCTAGATGACAAGAGCTACAACGATAACACCTTCATCAGGGTAACAATGAGAAGACATTGTCAGCGTCCGCCGTGATCGAAGTTGGCTCAGTTATCACCAACAATCAAGCCTCCCCTTCCTCGCCGCCGGTATTAGCCGACGAGCAAGGTCTCCAGCATCACCCAACTGACGATGTAGCTGCCGAGAGATCCTGACTCAAACATGTCATACGGGGTACGCCAGCCCATATCGGACCCCGACGAGCCTAGATCGGACCCAAACGTCCCTTCCACCGCACAGGCCACATCCGGTGCCAAATAGGCGGCCTCCGCAGACTGCGTCACCCACAGCTCTTGCCGTCCGGAGAATGGAGACAACAATCTCCGCTATCCAAGGCACAAACCACCACAACACCGTTGTCTTGCCGCAACAAGCAGATCCCGCCATATGTGACACCCGGCAGCCGCATCACGCCCAAGCCTGAGTCGCCGGCCCGCGCCGACTCCATGTGCAAAGGGACGAAGAGGCCCCGCCGCCACCGGCTTCGAACGGACTTTTCCTGACCACGCACTTGGGTTCGACGGTGGCTTTAGGTTTCCCTTCCGATCGCCTTGCTGGGGTGACACGAGAGGGATGAGAGGGACACTAGATGTGATCTATGTTACATTGAGATATTGGGCAGGTGGTCTGTGGGTGGCACCTGCGGCTAGGTTTGTTGGAAAGGATTCGCCCGGCAGAGAGAAGAGGATGGGAACAAGCGAATCGTTACTACACGGTAGGAAAGGATTGACCGAATCAGACACTCAAATCAGACACTCAGTACACAAGTCTCACTTGGAGGTGGCACAACTTGGTAAATTTGGGCAGTTCTTGCTTTGCCATTTCAGAGAAACTCGGTTTTCCCAGCTTCTCAACTCCTCATATCTTGCACTAAACTCATCGAGAGGTTCTTGTTGTCAACTCTGGGAATTAGCCCGTTTGACCTAGGTCCGGACCCGGAGTTGAAGGAGTTGGGAGCCGGAGAGCTGTCGAACTCGCCCTTAGTTGAGTACTCCCTCCGTCCGAAAATACTTGTCGAAGGAATGGATGTATCTGGACATATCTTAGTTTTAGATACACTCATTTTTATTCATTTCTCCGACAAGTATTTTGGGACGGAGGGAGTATATAGTTGAGGTCACCAAAGAAGAGTATTTTTAGTTACGCCCAGGATGCCGCTGCCTGCACAGCAGCTTCATTCATTCCTATCCAAAGCCTAAAATCCAAACGTGATCTTGTCTGCAAGTTTACATTATTGATCTATTCTAAGACTAGCAACTAGGCAAGTGGCAACTGCTTCTCATGGCATCCTGTCCCTGCCGTGCATGAATGCAGCTTTTTTTCGTTGGTTTCTGGAAACAATTCAGCTTTGCACTTTGGCATGTACTGCTCGAGTTTATGATGCCACCCACCTCCTCGTCCCGCGGGCGTCAATCATTAGTTTACTGGTAAAAGATTCCACACACGTTGTTCAGGGGCTAAGTGTGAGTTGTTATGCCAGTGCTGAATTGTTTCTTTCCGCGTAGGGGCGCCAATGCTCAATGTCCAACGGATCTAGTCATGAATACTTGGTGGATCCTGGATCTATGTATGTGGGAATGAAATCACCAACCACTAAAGTGAAGATTCCTTTTAATTAAGTATAGTTGGAGGTTCAAAAGAACAGCTGCTACATGCATGCATAGAGCATCAAAAGTTGTCCTTGATGTTGTTTCCTCCCAAGGCGTTGGCACTGGATACCGCTGTCTGCATAGCAGCTTTGCTTAAAATAATCCAAAGCATGAATCGCAAACCTCTGATCTAGTCTGCAGGTAATATATATGAGCCCTAGCAATTTCACAACTACTTCTCCTCATGCATGGCATCCTGGTGTGCATCCCTGCAGCTTTAATTTTTTGTGCTGTTCTTTTGAAATAAGAAGGACCCACATATATAGCTTTGCATTTGGCATGTGCTACCCCAGTTTGTCATGCCACCGGCCTTATCCTCCCTCATATGTAAAATAATCTGGATTTGAAGTGTCAATTTACTGGATGGAACCTTGAATACCACGCATGCAGTATTGTTGGTTGCTCTCCTTGCTTGGTCGGAACAACCAAATGCAAATGGCATGATGGTCTAGTGTGCATCGACTTCTGTAGCGATACTAGTTTGAGACATGGCAGGATAACATGTTGGAGAAATGATTTCCATCGGAAATACCTAAATTTTAACCATTGCACTTCGAGGAAGTCTTATATTTTGGTGGCGTAACACCGAAACTGGTTATATAAAACATTCTTCATGGTTTTATTAGAGAGAAGTGGGAGAGCTTTTTCCTGCTAAGGTCTTCTCCCCTCTATGAGAAATGGACTCCAATGCAAACCACTTTAGATATTCATGCTCTACTTCATAATCTAGTTCAACCTCTTACAAACCCCAGGTAAAAAGTACAAACCAATGTAGGTATTTATGCTCCAATTTGTAACCTAGTTCACGATCCAAGCCCTAGGTTGGCCCACACCCAGGAACCGGCTTATGCGAGAAACCCCCATGTAGGTATGCACATCATAAATATCATGGCTGAAGCATTCAGTAACAAATATCAAAAGTGGTAACCGAGGATCTCGCCACCACTTGCCTCCTTCAGTCGAGAGAAAAAGCCCATTCCATATCCAAACT